CCACCTGCCATGCCCTCACACCACACTCTCTCACCTCATGGGCCTGGCACAGCTCAGGAGGGCCCGGGAGCCCTGGGACCCTGAGCTGGCTTCCTGCCTCAGTTTCCCCTCCTGTGCAACATGCCCATACCTGGCTCTGCCCAAATCAAACATTTTCCTGGAGAACAGAGGGACTCCCGACATTCAGTGTGGTGGCCTTGATGGTCGGGGGGACACCCAGGCCCTCGGGGGGACCCCAGCCAGGCCGGCTGTCCCCCCCACCCCCCCACCCCTCCTGGCTTTGCCGGCCGAAGCCCAGTCCGCCCGGAACTGTCTGCCGGCCCGGCCTCTGGCGGGCGCAGGTTTCAGCTCCTGTGATAACTCGGAAAGTTGAACTGGCCCCATTACCGCGCTGAGATGGTTGGCGAGATACGGCCCTTGATAATGGGGGAGATACGGCGTCTCCGTGGCCAATAGCCCAGCCTCTCCGCCCATTAACATTCCCTACCAGCGATCCGTTCCCGCCGCCTATCTCCTCCGTTTCCACTCCTCCCGCAGATAAGAATGGAAATTCTGACTTCATAGCTCACTGATTAAAGTGTCTGGATTTCTTGATAATACACAGATAAATTATGTTTTTGAAAAAGAAGGTAGGGAGGAGGGTGGGGATGGTGGGGGCCCTGGAGGGGAGCCCTTGGCCGTCTCTGCCTCTCCTGGCCCCCGGAGCCGGCCGTGAACCTCAGCCCGCCCAGCCTGCACCTCCCAGGCCTCTGCACCCAGGCAGTGTCCGGGGGCCCGGCCGGGGAGGGGAAGGCTTGGGCCTCCGCTCAGAAAGGCCGCAGCAGAGGAGGATGGAACGGTGTGGAAGGAATGGTGCCGCTGGCCTGAGGGCTGAAACTCTGGGGGCCACGGGGGCGGATTCAAGGCGCCTCGCTACAGCCGGGAGTCTGCCCCCGGCTGCCCCGGCTCTAACTCTGGGCGCGCGAGCCTCAGTTCCATCCTCGTCAGATGGGCCCCAGCTTGCCGAGAGGATGCGGTGCCCCGAGGGCAGGGTCTCTGCTGTCTCCAGGCACCCAGAACCATACCCGGTCACACAGTGCGTGCCCAGTCAATGTTGAGGGACCCAGCTGAGCGCCGTTGGCCGGTGGGGGAGGGGGAGGGGCTCCCGGCTCCCTGCCTTTCCCGGCCTGGCTGCCACTTGTGATGGTCGGCGCCCAGATGGGACTATGGTGCCATCTCCGCGTCTGTCTGGATAAAGCTGCCTCCTTCAGCTGATCCGAGATCCCGCGGTGATGGTGGTGCGATTAGCAGCGATTAGGGCCCCGCGAGTGGCTAATCCTCCCGCTGAGGGACAGGTGCGGCAGCCAGGTGGGGGCCGCGCACCCGCAGGGCGACACCCACCCCCAGCTGTGCCCGAGGGGACGCCCAAGGCCTGGGGGGGGGCACGACACCCCCTGGCGCATGCCTGGGGCCCCCCGCTGAGGGGCTGCCCGGGACTCCTGGCAAGCACACCCATGCAGGCCATGGTTCCCTCTTTCTGTATTTGTTTTTAAGCAGCTCTCAAGAAATGAGATTTCCCTGTGATCCCAGAGACAGGAGGCCTGAGTGGGCCGCCAGCAACATTTCTGACATGTGCTAGGACGCCACGGTCCTAACAATCCTAATGGTAGCCATTGTCAGGTAGTAGCTCCCTTTACAGAGCACTTTCTTTGTGCCAGGCCTGGGCTTGACCTGTGTTACCCTGTAGAGTCCCAGCAACCCTGGAAAGGCGCCACCTTTGACCTCATTTCTTCTCAGAAGAGGACTCAAGGCTCAGAGAGGTTGAGCAACGCATCCAAGGTCACACAGCACAGAAGGGAGCAGTAGAGACTGACTTAGAGGCCTCGTCAAGGTCTGGGTCTCCATCATCACTGGAGGTTCTGGGGGTCTCCTCCTCTCCTAAGGGGTCTGCTCCCTCCATTTAGGGGAGAAAGGCCCAGACACAGAGAGGGTGAGTGAGTGCTTGGGACCACACAGCCCTGTCTGAGATCAGGGGGTGATGGGGTGCCTCTACTCCCGCTTATCTCCAGGGGTCATTTCATCTGCCTCCAGAAAATACCTTCCTTTGGTGATAAAATTGGTTTCTTTCTGTCTTTTGGGTTTTGTTTTGTTTCATTATTCTAAAGGAAGTCAGGTATTTCCAGTAGAATGGGTGCATATGTGGGGGAGGAGGACAAGTGTCGTGTGGGGTGACCAGGGTTCCAATTCTGCCCTTTGGGTGGGTGCCCTGGGCAAGTAACTTACTGTCCCTGCACCGCAGTTTCCTCACCTGTGCAATGGGCATAATCATAATTCTGGCCAGACATGTATAGTGGGGGCCGTGTTCTCCAGGGACTTGTGCAGCGGTTGGAGTCGTCCGGGCTGGGGCTCCCTCCCCAGGCCCTCCCTGCCTGCTGCACACCCTCTATGAATCCCACCAGCATTCCTCCTGGACTGATTTTGGCAGACAGCTCCAGGGTGCGGAGGTGTGGGGCCCCTGTCACACAGTGCTGTGGATGGTTCCGGAACGATTATCCTATGGCCTTGGGAGTCTGGCTCCCAGAGCCAGAGGGAATGCAGAAGGAGTGTAGGGGTGCAGCCTGCCCCAGCTGCTATGGCTCACAGGCACATCCTTGTTTTGAGACTCAGTTTCTGCATCTGTAAAATGGGGCTGAAGATGCTGAGGCCCGCCCTAGAGACCTAGGGCTGTGAGGTCTCCCTGTCCTGCACAGCTAAGCCCACGGGGGCGCACAGGCCATCTGGACAGAGGGGCTCAGCATCCAATCTCCAGGCCACTAGCCTCTGGGCCTCCCTGCCCTCATCACTCCCCCTTGGGGCTCTTCTGTATTCTCCCTGTTGTGAACACAGTCCTCGGGACCCCCACCCTTCCGGTCGGGAGCTCGGGGGGGGGGGCCAGGACTCTGGGCATGTAGACACAGCAGGGGGGATCTGAGGGAGGGTGGCCCCCACCCCTCCGTTACCCGGCTTGGGGGCTGGGGGTGGGGTGTGTTGCACCCTCCCCCCCCCAACAAAAAAGAAAGAAAAGGGAACTCTGATAAAAGGCGATAGGCCTGTGTGGTGGAGGAACCCTATCGCCTTATCTATCTGCCTGCTCTCTCCGAGCCGGTCTGTTGTTACCCTTATCTCAACCCACCAAAATGCCAGGAACAAAAGCGCGTGCACACCCACACTCACACCCGCGAGCCCACCACCCCGCAGTTCCCGGAGCCCCGGGAACATGATGCCGCTAGATCTGCCTCGGGGCATTCGGGTCCCCTTAAAATCATCGTCATCCTCATCATTATTTTGCAAAGGAAGCCAAAAATAAGTCCTCCCGGAGGAGATGCAGCTCTAAATAAGAAGTTGCCCCCGATAGGCCCTCCCTGGAGGGAAGGAACCCAGCCTTGGGATGAGGGGCGAGGTCCCAGCTGTGCTGCTGCATCCCAGCTCTGTGACCTTGGGTCAGTATCTTTCCCCCTCTGAGTCACTCATCATGGGCGGGGTTGGGGGGGGAGTCCGAGGATTTAACGGAGCTTTAGAGGAAAAGGAAGAGCATGTACTATAACCAAAGTCCTCCCCATGTGGCAGGTGGCCATTTTGTGTCCCAGACTTGGGTCTGGGGCAGGTCATCCAGAGCTTGGCACCCGCAGAACCTGCTCCTTCAGAGGCCAGAGCCGGGCCCCCCAGCTCCCAGCCCCCACCAGTGTCCCTAGCCCGCCCCCCCCCCGCAGAGCCCAGCATACCCCCCAGCCCACACCCCCCCAGCGCCCCTAGCCTGGCCCCCCAAAGCCCAGCCCAGCCCAGCCCAGACAACTTCTCCCCAGGCCCCGCCCCCGCGGCCTGGGAATGAAGGTCCTAATCTCTATGCCGCCAATGGAAACGGACATGCAAATGAGCGAGAGTGAGGCCTGGGGATTGGCTGAGCTCCATGTGTGAGGCGGGGCCTCTTCCGAGGGGGCGGGGCTCCTCTACAAGGCGCGCTTAGTTTAGGGAGTGGGGGACACTGTCTTGCCCGGACCTTGACCCCGTGATGGAAATCCGCCCCCCCCAGCTCTGGAAGGGCCAGCCTTTCCGGGGCCTTGCTGCTGGGGTCATCCGTTTGCCCAGGTGCATCGGGACAGACGGTTTGGCCCTTGGATGACCTCTTGCTGACCCTGAGCCCAGACCCCCACAGCCTGAATTAGGGGACCAGGACTTGGGCGTTCCCGAGATCAGCCCCGCCAATTCTGACTCCCAGATGGGAACACTGAGTTCAAAAATGGGGCGGGGCAACTCAAGGCTGGCCAGCTCCCCTCCCTGTGTCTGGGGCACCTCCACACTCTGTACATGCTGTCCCATCTCTGCCCCCCCCCCCCCGCTGTGATTTTTATCCAGGACCTCACACTGCCAGGCTCGCTGTAGCACCAGGCCGGGATGGGGCCATGGTACCTTTTTTTTTTTTTTTTAAGATTTTTTTTTTTTTTTTATTTGACAGAGACAGAGAGAGAGAGAGAGAGCACAAGCACGGGGAGCGGCAGGCAAGAGGGACAGGGAGAAGCAGACTCCCCACCGAGCAGGGAGCCCGATGCGGGGCTCGATCCCAGGACCCTGGGATCAGGGCCCAAGCCGAAGGCAGACGCCCAACCAGCTGAGCCACCCAGGCACCCCGCCATGGTACCATTTTAATGAGCGAGAGTCCCGACCCATTTGCCAAACTTGCTTTCCTATCAGTTAAATGGGAGGGTCTGGTCTGTCTGTCTTCCAGGGCAATTTCTGTGCACCCTGATGAGCACCATTTGCTCCCTGGGCCTCAGTTTCCCCATCCACCCAATGAGGGCTGAAACAGGAGTTTCTCAGGGGGTTCCTTAGTCTATCTGTGGCTGTGCTGTATTCTAGAAACAGGGTCTTTCAGATTTTCCATTTTCAGAAATTTATTTAACAGGAGACCATGTCTGCAAGAGGTATTCAAGAAACTTTGGGGGTTCAAAGTCACTCTGCACCCCACAGATTGTCTTGTCGGTGAGATGGGGGGCCCAGGTAGGCCCAGCTGGCCCAGAGCCTGGCCAGATGCTCCCCTAGTTCCGCAGCACCTGCAGGGCTCCATGACCCGAAAACCAGCCACAGGTGTGGGCGTTTTGCAACAATGCATAAGTGGAAAATAGCAGAGGAGCAAGGAGGGAACAGGTTTGGGCTGAGATCTAAGGGGAGGAAACGGAGGGGGCTGTCGGACCAGAACCAGACTGCTGCCATGTGACCTCAGCTGAGCGCCTTCACCACCCCCCCCAAAACAGGGTGACAGTGCCTCCCAGGGCATGGAGTAAGAGGGACTCAGCAACAGCACCTAGGCCCTGTCCCCCGGGAGGGGTCCCCCAGCGCCGCCTCAGAGTCTCTCCAGTGCAGGGCACATATAGTAGGTGCTCGATAAATACTCCCTCAGTTGATTTCAAAATCTCCCCACCCCGGCCCCTGTCCCAGGAAAGCAAAGCAAGCCCATGGGAAAAAGGAAACTGGAAGACAAGTCAGTGCGTACAGTGAGCGCTGTCATGGACAGAGCCGTAGCGGCCCAGGAGTTGGGGTCACTACCAGCAGACAAGGAGGACCTGTCCCCCGCAGCAGGGCTCAGGCTCACTTCCTTCGGGTCTGGGTGCCTGGAATAGGAACAGCAGGCTGACTTCTGGGTGTCCTTGTGTGTTCAGGCCTCCAAACCTGTCTGAGGCCCTGGTGTGCTTGGGCCCTCGTCCAGGATCCCCGTGACCCTCATGGGAGCTCAGTCCCTGCCCTCATAGCACCCAGGCTGCTGGGGAACAGAGAGGGAACACCAGAAATGAACCCTAAGGATGGAGAAGCCCCGGGACTGGGGTCGTGGAAGGCGAGGCGGCCACTCTGAAGCCAACGTTAAGCAGAGACAGATGGTGGTGGTGGTGGTGGTGGTGGTGTGTGTGTGTGTGTGTGTGTGTGTAAGAGCCACCTGGCAGAGGGCACAGCAGAGACAAAAGCTCTGAGCAGGGAATGAGCTACCACGGTGGGGAGGAGGGATGCCAGCCCCTGCCACGCGCTGACCAGCTCAGTCAGGGCGCCGCCCCCAGGACAGGCACTCCCTTCCTGTGTGCCCTCAGCAGTCACGTCACAGGCAGGCCCAGGATGTGGGGTAGGACACAGGAAGTGCGGGGCTCCTCCCCTCCCTTCTCCTCCTCATGGACCAGGCTTTTTCTCTCCACGTACTCTATCCCAGCCGGAGGGACTTGAGGAATCCAGATGCAAACAGGGCTCTTGACCCACCCAGGCTCATCTGCACCCTCAGGCCCTTGGCCAGGTTTGGTTCCAAAGCTGTAATGTCCAGGGTCAAGGCCATGGGCTCTGGAGCTACACAGATTGGCTGCACATCCCAGCCCTGCCACTCACTGGGTCCCCTTGGGCCGGTCACTAAGACCCCCGAGTCTCAGCCCCCTCCCTAGAGATCAATAGGGCCAAGCGCTAACTGGCAGCAGAGGTTTGCCCAGGACCATTCATGGGACGGGTCAGTGCCTCTGGCCTCCCTCCAACCTCGACACAGCCCCTAGCATCCCCCAGGCCACCATCAATGCAAGCCCTGCCTCAGTGTCCACGGCCCGCAAGTGGCCCGAGGCGGTGGAGGAGGCCACGTCACTGTGAAGGGCTGTGCACACGGGTGAGAACATGCATCTCTGAGTCCCCTAGGATGGGGACAGGCGCTTATGGAGTGCCTGCTGTGTGCTCCATGGCACTGGGCTGCAGAAACTGTCCCCCTTGAGGATGAATGCCCCATGCTGTCCCCCACGTCTCTCCTTCCTTCCTCGGCCCCTGGCTACCTCTGCTCTGCTCTGTAGAAACTTGGGGCTGCTTTTCAACCCCCAGTTTTCAGGTGAGGAAACAGGCTTCAATGGGCACGGGGCCTGCCTGGCAGGGGTTGAGCCCAGGAGCGCCCCACGCCAGCTTCCCGGACCCTGTGGCTCTCTCTGGCCCCCGTGGGGACAATGTGCCCACGGGGGCCAGGAGGTGCAGGCTCAGCCCCGCATAGCCGCTGACTCCCCGTGGGACCGGGAATCCCCCTCCACACTCTGGGTGTCTCGGTTTCCCTATCTGTGCAGTGAGAGCAGAGTAGAGCTGCTGCTTGGGACCCGGCCACACCCAACAGGGAAAAAGGCTACCCAGAGGACCCGGCTTCTTCCTCCCTGCATGGCATCCCCCAGGGGTTGGAGACACAGCCCGGGTACTGGTCTGCCAGGCCTGGGTGTGCATCGTGCTCCTGACCCACAGAGCATCAGGACAGCCAGGCCTGGAGGAGGGACCGTGGCGCTGTGGCGGGAATGCGGTCCTGAACCCGGGGCCTGGCAGGGCCCAGAGCCGGCTCCTCGGTGCAGAGGGCATACTGCGGGGCCCAGTGCGGCAGGGAAAGCCAGCGCCGGCGGTGAGGGGATGGTCTGCAGCCCAGGAGGCCGTGTCCCCAACCCCTTCCCCAGAGAGCAGGGAGGGTCCTGTCGCCCTGGAGCCCCGGCCCCTTCCGGGAAGCAGTCTGCCTGCATCCAGCTGACGCGTGGGCCCCGGCGACGGCTCCATTAGCGCGGCCCCCGCTCCCATTCATCAGCCCTTATCGGCCCATCTGCACAATCAGTGCGCAGCCCGCGGCGCCCTTCGGCGGGCGCTACTTGCCTGGCCCCGCCCCCGGGCTGCCGCGCCCGCCTCCTCCCCCGGGCGTGCGGTGCTCTCTGCCGGGCCACGTGGTCCGCGCCCCGCCCAGCAGTGTCGGCGATCCGCGCTGGCTGCGGCAATCTCGGGTAATCTATCAGCAGCTATCGGGCCCATCGGAGGGCCGGGAGCGGCCAGGCCCAGAGATGGCGCCAACCCCTAGCGACGATAAAGTCTCCGAGTTCAGCGGTGATGAATGCCGAGTGAGTGCAGGCCGCGGATAGGATGTGGACTTGGCAGCCCGCAGCTCCGGCTGAAACCAATCTCTCGCTATCAGGCAGGCCGGGCTTTCCCAGGCCCGCTCCCCTTCTCTGCCTCGCCTGGCCCGGCCCCTGCCCCAGGGGACCGGGCCCCGGGGGTGGGGGGGGCAGCCTGAGACAGGGGAGGATCCTGAGCCAGGCCAGTGAGGTGGCACCCAGCTGGGGGCTGCCTGGAGGTGGTGGCTGGCCTGGGTCTCCCACAGCCCCGCCTTGCTTCCCAGGGTGGGAAAACAAGACCCTGGGCAACGAGAGCCCTCTGCCTCTTCCCCACCCATCCTTAGCTGCCGGCAGGACCCCACCAAACACTCCCACCCCCGGGACTTGGTCTGGCACTCCTGTCTGCCTGGGGCATTCTTTGGGATCACAGTGTAAGCAGTGTCTCCCCTGAGAAGCCCTCGCTGCCCACCCCCAGGCCGGTCTGCATCCGCACCCCGTCCTTGCGCATCATGGTGTCTGGGGGCTGTGTCCCTCCCCGCTCGGCACCCGTGTGCTCAGAGCTGACCCAGCCCATGGGGGGCACCAGGAGCCTGGTGGAAGAAATCCCACAGCACCTGAGGATGAGCCACAGTGGGAGGGGTCTTTACCTCCCACAAAGCCCTCTCTCGTTCCCCCCCACCCCCCCTACCCCCGCACTGCACCTCTGCGGGGTTGGCGGGTCAGTCCCCGTGCGTCACGTGCATAAACTAGGGCCTGGGCAGGTCCCCTAGGCTGAGCGCCGTGAGCCTCGGAGCCCGTGAGGCCTCGGCTCTTCCCTGCCCTGCGTGGCCGTGCCAGCTGTGGCCACAGACCTCTGATGGGGCAGGTGGGGGCCGTGGTGGCTGTTCTCTGCCTGGTTCTCCTCCCCTGCTTGGTGGAGCCGGTTTCCCTACAGGCTGGTGCTGATGGGGGTCCTGGTGGAACTTTATAAACTGTCGAGGGCTGTGCACACATGTCCCGGGGATCAGAGCCGGGAGAGGGCCCCAGGTGCCAGGCCTTTCACGCCCCTGCTGATGCCCCTCCCCCACAGCGGATAGGCAGATGGCCATGCCCACGTGACAGGGAGGAGTGTGCCAGCCTGAGCCACCAAGTGCAGAGCTGCCAGAGCCTGGGTCCTGGCCTTGGGGAAGAGACGGTCTGAGGGGGGCCAGAGAGCGGTCACACAGCAGCCAGGCAGGGAGTTGACGGGGAAGGAGTGAGAAAGGTGGGGAGGGCTTCTCTGAGCCACAGTGTTGTAGAGCCAGGAAGGGAAACTGAGTCCTGGTGAGGGGAGCCACACAGACCCGGGTCTGGATCCCCCCAGCAGACCCCCCCACCCACCTCTATAAACAGAGAGGCTAGGTGAGGCCTCGAGGGGAACGCAGGGCTCAGGAAGGGGAGCAGGCCGGCCCCCCGTCCGCTGTCCTAGCTGTGAGACCTTGGGCACGTGTCTTTACCTCCCTGTGCCTGTCCCCCATCCATGTGGTTCTGTCCCCAGAACCAGGCCTGTTTCTCCTGACCAGCTGCCCTGAGAGGCCTCTGAGGGCAGTGTGTGCAGGGGGTGCCAGGCTTAGCCTGGGCCCCCACTGGGCATGGCCGTGGGGCTGGGGCAGTTAAGCCCCCAAGTTCCGCCTGTCGGTTATGGGGCTGGCCACAGGAGGAAGTGGTGGTGGCTGGGGCCGGGATCTGGATGCAGGACCCCCCCCCCGGGTGTCAGCGCCCTATCTCCCTTCATCTCACGTCTCCCAGCCTGGAGTCCCTAGAGACCCCAGGCGGGGCCGGCCCGGCCTGTGTTCTGCCCACTGCGAGAGGGGGCACACCTCTGACTCCCCAGCCCCAACAAGAGGGGTCAGACTCCAAGGCTCCCCGCTGCCTGGGCCCTCCACCTCCCCTGGCCCACGGTCACCGAGCACCTCCTGTGTGCCAGGTGCTGCCCCAGGGCACAGCCTGTGAGCACACCAATCAAGTGAACACCCTGTGGGCATCCGGGCGGCAGTGGGGTCGGCCAGAGCCAGGCAGGGGTGGGAGCTCAGGCCAGGATGGCCCCTCCCGGAGTGAGATGGGTGCTGGTGTGGGCCGCGGTGGGCCGTGTGGCTTACACTGGGAGAAAGAGGGAGCCGGGGAGGCAAATGAGCGGAGGAGGGCAGGTGGAGGGGTGGAGGCATGTGTCAGGAGATGGGTGTGTCATTAGCATCCATGCTGAAGGCCCCAAAGGAAGGAGCTGGGGAAGCTGACTGGCTGGGTGCGGGGAGGGTGAGGCCTGGAAGAGGGGGTGGCCGCAGGGTGAGAGGTGCCCGAGGCCCGGGAGGTGGTCCTCCCACTGCTCTTGGTTACAGCAGCCCCCAGGCAACTCGGGGACACGGGATGCGTTTGTTGGCCCTCCCCGCTTCACCTGCCTGCCGTCTGTCCAGGGGAAGGTTTTATTTTGTCCTGGGCACTGCACAGTGAGTTCTGGTCATCGCCAGCCCTTCAGAGGGGACATGGGGAGGGGCACTGGGAGGCGCCCCACACAGCTGGGTCCGCGGGGCTTGGAGGGGTGGGCACTGCTGTAAAGAGCCCCGGATTCTGACCGGTTCCTGGAAAGCTTGTGGGGGAGTAGGTGAAGATCCGCCCCGGAACGGCCCACGTGGGCCCTGGTTGCACAGGACCGCGCCCACCTTTTAGTAGACGCTGCTTTGAAAGCCGAACCACCCTTAAAAGGATGAATCTTACTGTATAGGAATTATGTCTCAATAAAATACTTCCAGTGTGTTCAAAGTTGAAGTAGGTCATACCACTCTTGTTCATTAGACTCGGTCCATGCTCCCGAGAGCGTGGGGCCCTGCTTCGCACCGTGGTCAGCACTCCACGTTCTTTCTTGATGTGGAGGGCACCTCCTTGCCCTCAGCCGGCCCTGAGTGTTAGGCGACGGTGGCCGGCCGCCCTCCTGCAGCCTGGCTTACCTTGGACAGCACCCCTGCCCCACCAAGTGTGGCCCGAGTGCTTGCTGGCCTCACCGAGGCCACGGGTGTCGGGGTCTGGCTCGTAGACAGCAGAGCCGACGAATCGACAGTCAGTTATACTCGGCCCTGATGGAGAACCCCCACGGTGGCGGGGGTGGGGCAGGCCTGAGAAGCAATGGGTCTAGGACCCAGATGTCTGGAAGAGGAGTAGTGAGCTTCCCCCTGCAGGGTGTATGTGAGCACCATCAGACTGACCGTCGGTGGAAAAGTGGAGAGCCCGGCTGCCCAGCCCCCCGCCCCTGCCGCCGGCGGCCCACTGCGGTAGTCGGGGGGCCAGAGCCAATGTGGGAGGGTACCTGGGTGCAGGCAAAGGTTCAGAGGCCTCCTCTCCCCTCCGAGCCAGGGTGCCCGCGCAAGTGAGCCAAGATTATCTCACCAACATCTTCTTGTGGTCGCCCCAAGCTGTCAGCGGGGACTGACCTCGGGTTGAAGAAGCCGCTGGTGGGGCCACAGCGGAGGCCTATGGGCCTCTCCCAGCCCTAGCCCCTCGAGGCCCCTGGGGCAGGAGGGCAGCACTGCCGGCCAGCTTCCCTCCCCCCTGCGGGAGAATAGACCACCTGCAGATACGCAGAAGGCTCCAGGAAGGCCCAGTCTGTGTGGGAAGATCCTGCTGAGGGCCGAGGAGGCCTTCACCAGGCAGAGGGGGCAGCGTGGTGAAGGCCCCATGGCTGGCAGGAGCGGGCAGACGTGGGTGGCTTCAGGCCATGGTGGGCTGAGGATCGGGGGTGAGGTGGACCCTCCAGGAGAGCCGGGCTCCATGCAGTTTCTGCACTGGGCCTCCCCAGAGCTCCAGCTCCCTCCCGTGGGTGCCTGCACCCCTCCCGGGGAGCCCCCACCCCTTTGGGGCTATAAGCTCCTAGGAGGCAGTGGGCCAGGACCCTGCCTCTGTTCTAAACGTTAGAGAAGCTTTGTAAGCTCTCCAGTAAATGGGACTCCTCCCCCTAGGCCTTTGTAGCTCCCGCTGGGGGTCTAGAACGTGCCCCTCGCCCCCCACTGCCACCTGTGCCCACCCATTGCCCCCCACGCCCCTCTGCTGTCGTGCCCTGCCACCCATCGGTGGCGCAAGCCCGACCTCACAGGCCCCAAACTGTCGGGGGCTGCTCTGCGCTGGGCCCTGGGGCTCTGGGGTCGGGGGGCATCCTTGCCCTCAGCAGCGCCACATACCCTGGGCTCCCTCTGCTCCTCCTGGGCTCGCCCCACCCCCAGCCCTGCTCAGCACCCCCTTCTTCCAGCTTGCTTCTCTCCATCCACCTGGGCCTGGGAATCAGCTCAGCTGCTTGTCAGGACTGTGAGTCAAGCACGGGTCGCTGGGCCCCGAGGGCCTTGGCAGCCAGCAGAAGCTGCAGGCTGGGCCAGAGCGGCCGGCTGCCCCTGCGTCCTGCGCCTCAGCGTCTTTGTCCAGCAGACACCAGCTGAGTTAGAGACCCTCCTCCCCGGGGATCCCGCTGGCCGGGGCCCACGCAAGGGAGTGCTTCCCCAGAGGTCACACTGCCTGCTGCCAACAGGTTGGGCTTTAGACCCAGCCCTGTGTGCTTGGGGGACCCGGGTCCCTGGGGTCCCTGGGGTGGCTGCCCACGGCCCCCAGTCACCCAGAGCTCCCCTAGCGAGGCCCCCTCAGGGGGAGCAGGGCTGTCCCCACCGTGGCCTGAGCTGCCCCACCGCCCCCCGGTGGGAAAGTCTGAATCTGTTGCAATTTTCCCTCTGTTATCAGAGCCTTATCTGGCCACCGTGTGCCGCCCAGAGGCCAGGGTCTCTCTCCTGGCAGCCCCGCGCCCCCACCCGCCCCGGGCCCAGTGCCGCCGGCCTGCCCACCAGCTGCCCAGGCCCAGCGAGACCAGAGGCCAAGGCCTTCTGCCAGCGCTGTCCCCCCGCCAGGCCTCAACCCTATCCACCAACCTGCCACCCCCAGAAGGCAGGTGTGGCACCCCCCCCCCCGGAGAGCTGAAACTGTTGACAGTTGTCATAATAACCCGTCTGTGCTCAGCACCAGAGCACCACCTTGCTGAACCCTGACCCCAGCCCTGCTTTCCATGAGGAAACCAGGCTCGGGGAGGTGTGGCCTGCACACGGCCACCTGCCTCAGCCTCCTGCTGTGCCTTCTGCTCGGAATGCTTTTCCCTGGCCCCAGTTGCAGGCCATCCCCTGTCCCCTTCCAGATCGCCATCGCTTGTCACCTCCTCCAGGAAGGCTTCCCTGACTGGCACCTGCACCTCTCCTTCGTGGCAATGGCCACACTTGGGTTTTTCACTTTGCTTGGGGTATGTCCTGGGGCAGAGTCTGGCCCTCGGTGGACCCAGGAAAGGTTGGACAGGTTAATGAATGCGGGGGTCAAGGAGGGGTGAATGAGAGAACAGTGGTGGAGGATGGGGCCCAGGATGAGGGCTGCTGGCACTCCAGCGGAAGGGCAGGGCCACGTGGTCCATCAGTGTCCACCCCGCCCCCAGGCCAGGGGGCCTGCCTTCAAAATCCAGCTCTGAGGCAGGAGGGGCTCCAGGGCAGGTCTCTGGGCCTCTGTCTTCTGCTCTGTAAATGGGGTGTAAGAAGAAGGACCTTCCCAGAGAGGCATAAAGGACCCACGTAATGGGCGGGCACAGGGTGGGACCTCAGGTAAAGAATCACACGGTGGTCAGGCCCCAAGTTGGGTGGGGGGCTCCTGGGGACTCTGCCCTGGTTCTTTCACATGTTTCCAGTGGTCTTGGGGTGCGGGTAGTCACCTCCACTGGATGCAGGTGCAGTCTGCAGCACCAGCTGCGACCAGCGGGACGCCCAGGGCCTTGGGACTCCCCGTCCCATGCTCGGAGACACTCTCACCAGCTCCCTGCCCGACAGGTCTGCCTAGGGGCCACAGTCTGGGGGATTTTGTCCCCTCCACAGAGAACAGAGAACAGCTCTCCTAGAGGTGGACATTCAAAGGCACCCCCCCCACCAGCTGCCTCACCATCAGAGCCAGGAGGGGCCGTTAGTCGTGCAGCTCGGGGACTCGGAAGGGAGCGGGGATCACCCCGCCGCACAGAGCCTGTCTCCGTAATTCAGTCTTAAAGCATGAAGAACGGGAGTTGATGAAATTCTGCTATCAGCGCCCAGCCAATATGCAAACTATCTCGCCCCCAATCAAATAGCTATTATGTTTTCATTTCCATTTCCACGTCCGGCTTAATGAGCAGGAGACGGATCGGCGCGGGGCGTCTGCTCGCCGTGATAACTGAGGGGCTCCGGGCAGCGGGGGCAGCTCTGCAACCGCCATCATCACCACGGGCACCCCCAGACAGGGTCCAGCCTTGGGCACTGGCCTGTCCACCCTGCTGGGCTATGCGGCCGGCGTCACCCTCGATCCAGGCGTCCGGAGGGTGAAGGGATGCACAGGGCCACCCTGGTGCAGAGAGGGCTTTGCCCGAGCCAGCGTCTGCAGGGGTAGCATGTCTGGGGAGGGTCCTGCCCTGCCCGCCCCCACCATTGCTTCCTCATGGGGGCCATGGGCAAGTCACTTCACCTTGCTGGGCCTCAGTTTACTCATCTGCAAAGTGGGTGTAACCTCTGGGTGGTGTTGAGAGGCTGGGAGGAGATCTGCCCATCATGACCGGCTCAGGGCCCGGCTGGCCCCCTCCCCACCCCTGTGTGGTCTACACACACCTTCCCCACCACCCCTACAGTCTGGGCCACCAGGCAGGGGTGGTTAAAGGAGAACATTGTAAAATGCTGAGCACAGGGCTAACGTACGACAGATGATGCTTAATAACCGCACGCCCCCCACCCCATTCCCCAGGCCCTGCTGCGCAGCAGGTGGTGACAGCTAACGATGTTTGGTGTGCACTTACTACACGTTTCACCCTGTGACATAGGAGCTGTTGTGGTTTCTGAGCACAGAGAGGTAGAGTGACTTGCCTGAGGTCACACAGCATGGACACCTGTCTTGCATGGATTGGCCTGGCCTAGCTGTTGGGATCTTTGCCAGAGAGCGTCCCCCAGGGGTCAGGCGGGGCTCATTCCTGGCTCAGGGCAGCCAGGGAAGCAGCAGTGTCTCTCTGATGCGTGGCCAGTGGAGGAACCCTCCTCCCCAAGCCCTCGGTGGAGTGGGACCCCAGGGTGTCCCAGGGGCGGGATGGCACGCTCTTGGGGTGCCGAGGCAGGCACGGCTCAGCCTTGGCCATGACACATCCCCTCGTGGGCTCGGAGCGATTTGCTGGTTGGCCGTTGTCTCCGACATTATCAGAGCGGCTTTAATTGCGGTGGAACTGAATTAGCGGCATTAGAATAAATTGCTGCAGCCCGGCAGCCCCTTTCTTCACGCTCCTTGTCACGCCTTTGTGCGGCGCGGGGGCCTTTGTTCTCCCATAAATGGACCCGCCACAAGCTTGGGGCCTCCCTGGGTGGCTGAGGCCCACCTGAGCAGGGCCCTGACAGTCGGAGCTGCATCCCTGGGGTCAGGCAGGGGTGCGGAGGGGGGCGTCCGCTCTGCCCCGACGCTGTGGTCCCTGCGGGCGCTGAGAGCAAGGGGCTTCGTACCCGTTCACCAGAGCAGGTGACTGAGGCCCTGAGGTCCTATGGCCATTCAGCTATGGGCCATCCCCTTGGAGCTCTGATGAGCCCAGGAGGCACAGGCATGTCTCAGGCTGACCCGAGAGGCCTTTGTGCTGCCCACCGAGGCTGGGATGGCTGCCGGGCTGCTGGCCGCCGTGGCCAGCAGCACCTGCTCAGCACCAACCCCACAGGCGGGGCAGCTTGAGGCCAGCCTCCCCTGCAGCCTCTGCTTTCCTGCCCGGATGCATGCCAAGGCAGGCCACGGCAGGTCGGGCCTCCCACCTGTCCCAGGGCCCACGGTGGACCAGCTGGGCTGTGCCCAGTCCACCTCAGAGGCTTGTCTGTCCATGTGGGTGCGTTGACAGGAAAGCACAAGACTTGGCCTGGGGCTGGTTCTGTGCGGTCTCGGCCCGGCCACGGGGTGGTGAGCACCTGCCCATCTCCTGTAATTACGGCTCCGGGGTGGCCTGGGGAGGCTAGGACTCCGGTCTGGAGCTGGAGTCCAGACGGCTGCAGCCGGGAAGCAACCCTGCCAGGGACTCTATGGCCCTCCAGTGCCTCTGGGATGAGGATCCGCTCCTTGCCCTGGCCTCTCTCCAGCCTCGAAGCCGAGCTCTGTCCGGCCCCCGGGCCCGCCACCCGGAGCTGCATTCCCAGCTGTCTGTCCTGCCTGAGCTCTGCTGGCGGCATCTCCCCTGCTCTCGCCTCCCTCATTTGCCCCCCTCCCTCCCAGCACTTATAATCAGTTGTTTCCTGTTTGGGGCCCGTCTGTTGTTCTTTGACGGTCTCCCCAGCGGGCCTGGGAGTCCCCCCGCAGAGTCCCGATGTCCTGGGCACCTCTGCCTCCTGGAGCAGTGTCCGCCCCACATGTTGGCGGGAGGCAGGAAGGGCGTCCGCCCCGCCAGGAACGCTCGGTTTTCCTTGCTGTAGCCAGCCGCCGTCTGCCAGTGACCAGGGATTTGAGCTGGAAGGCAAACAAAACCAGCTTGCCCACCTCCCCATGGAAATTGCTACATTGGGAAAGTCAGGTGGAGCCTCGTTTCTCACATTGCTCCTTCTATCATCGTCTCCCTGGATCACTGCCCTGAGCCAGCTCCCGTGGCCCGCGGTGGACGCTGGCTGGTGGCACCAGGTTTCACCTCTGGGGAGATACAGGGAAGGAGGGGAGTGAGGGAGGGCACCAGAAGAAGACTAGTGGTTTGGTGAGAAGCCCCTGAAATGGCACATTTTGGTCTCTGTGGTTTCTGGGGAGAAGGCACTGGCTTTCACCAGATTCCCATGGGGGTCATGATGTAGAAAATGTCACAGAGGCAGGAATCCCAGTCAGATCTCCATCAGCCGCTGCTTGCTTGCCTCCAGGGATGGGGAGCTCAGCCCCTGAGAGGTGGCCCTTCCATTCCACATAGCTCTGTCCCTGATGCCAGCAAGAGCAAGCCCCATTCAGCCCCATCAGGCACCCCCAACATGTGGATTTGCAGTTGTGGTCATGACTTCCAGACGTTTCTTCAGCAGCAAGAGGGCCTGGCTGCTGTGGGGTTGGCAGCCTGGGCTGAGCAGGGGTCTGTGAGTCAGGACCCTGCCCCATGGCCATGCCCAGATGATGGGCATCATCTCCCTGATGACTGGGGGGGAGGGGTGGGGGGTACCGGGGGGGCAGGACAGGTGGCTAGAGGAGCCATTTGGGAAGGTAACTAGGGCAGGAGGCAGCTTCAGCCCCAGCACCTGTCTCCGGGCCTCAGGACCCAGGCCGAACCAGCCAGAAGGGGCCTGGGGAGATTTGGAGAGCAGAATAAGGAGGGACACCTGCTCACCGCTCTCCCCTCTGCCAGCCCTCCCCCAGACACGCCGGTCTGATGGAGGGTGCTGCCCTGGCGGGTCTGGCTTCCCTCCTCCCCCAGGAAGTCTCTGGGCTCTGAGTCCACCCTCTCAGCTGTAAGGGGGTTCCGTGGAGCAGACCTGCAGGGACCTCCCAGGGAAGGTGACAGTTGGAATCCGGGGCCGCGGGCCTGAGGCCCTCCGGTCCCAGAGGCTTGACTGCCGACACCTGTACCCTCCCGCACCTGTGCCCCATCAAGCACGCATTCCCGTAGCCAGGTTTTCTGAGCACTTCCTGGGCCCCGCACACGGGCCCACGCTCCCGAAGCTCCCAAACCTCGGTACCTGAGTGTGGAGGGCTTCTCGGGGGACTTGTCTGGGCCCAGGAGAGATTTACCCTCACGCTGGGGCTCCGTGAACCCCCAGAGGGGGTTGGCGAGGGGGAGGCGAGGGCTGTGGTCCATACAGCCCCCAGGAGCCCCCTGAACCGGAAGAGGCACCGTGGCTGCTCCCACAGCGTGGAACAGAGCGGAGGGGAGACCCGGGGAGGGGCCAGGACCACCCTCCTGGCCAGAGGGGTCAGTGGGCTGAGAGGTTGCAGAGCTGGGGAGGTGGCGGTGGGACGCCAGAGTGACCCCAGGCGTTGGAACTGTTGCAGGGACTGTGGTGATAGGGTGAGGTGTGCACGAGTCTTGGGGGCGCCGCTCACGGCCTCTGGCCCTGTGAGGTGGCAGAGCCCATGCCCCTCTGCCTGGGGAGGGGGGGTCCGGAGGCCGGGGGCCATCGCCCCACAGAGCCTCACGATTCCTTTTGCGCTGTGTCTGCAGGTTCCCTTGGAGACGTGGAAGCTACGGAAGAGGCTCAGGCCATGGACGCCAGCCACCCAGAGCAGGAGGCCGGAACACCGGAGCCCGAGGCCGTGGGAGAGCCCGAGCCCCTGAGCCCTTCCAGTCCAGGTGAGTCTGGCGGTGGGTGCGCGACAGGCCGGCGTCTCACGCCCTGCACTGCCCCACCCCTTCCCACGTCCTCACCGGTGAAGTGCGCCTTGTGCTTGCTGGTGTCTGTGGGCCAGTGGCTGGGCAGCTAGCGGCCGGGGGCCTGATCCCTGGGGGCCTGGAGGGGCGGGGGCAGGAGACACACACACCCTCAGCATGAGGAGGGTCTTGGGAGTCCAGCCCCTTCTGGTGCAAAGGGGCAGACGAAGGCCTCAATGGGGAAGGTCTAGTCCAGGCTTGCACAGGGCGTCCTGGGCCACTGAGTGACCTCGAGAAAGCCATGCCCTCCCCCGCCTCCATTTACCCTCTGTGGGATGGGGCAGCGAGGCCTCAGCACGCATGGTCTCAGCGCGTAGCAGGTTCTCCTGCTACGGCACTGTACCCCATTTTACAGACGAGGGAATGAGGCCCAGAGAGGTGAAGGGACTTGCCCATGGTCACACAGCCTGTAAACACCCGAGCAGTGATCCGACCCCAGGTCTGGATTCAGGTTGATTTCTCTTCGTACAGAGCCTGCTCCCCCCACCCCCACCCCAGGCACCTGGAACCTTTCCTTGGACCCTCTTGGTGGCAGTTTCGGGGGGTGGGGATGGTGTTGGGGAGAGACCCAGAGGTGAATCAACCTGACCCCGGGAAGCCTGCTCTGGACAGGTCCCCAGCGGGCCTCAAAGCAAGGGCAGCTTCTCTAGCTAGCCGTACCCCCAGGACGAGAGGCCTCCCTGAGGTGGACGCGTGGGGGAGGTCAGCACCCTCACCCCTGTTTTCCTGAGGAGGAAACTTGGCTTGGGGTATTAGTGGGGGATGGGGTGTGCCTGCTCTGAGCCGGACTCACCTCTCCCTGCCTCCCCCCTGCTGGCCGTGGGTCTTACCCCCATTCAGGGCCGTGACGCTCTTGGCACACGGGGCTGAGTGACCCCCAGGCCGTAGTCTGATGGGGGAGATGTAGCCCCAAAGTGGACCATTTGTGCGTAGGTGACATGACGGGGTGAAGGAGAGATGGGGCGGGGGTGACACTGAGCAGAGACCAGAAGGCTGCACAGAGAAGGGCCAACCTGCCACTTCAGAGGCCGCGAGGGACTGGCCAGTGGGCAGCGGAGATCCTGGTAGACGTTCTCCCTGTGGACCCCCTGCCCCCAGCGTTTCCCAGTCTCCGAGCATCTGTGCCCTGCCCCCTGCGATGACCACAGGCCAGGAGCCCAACGAGCCTCGTCCTCTGAAACCTGCTGGCCCTTTCCGCAGTGGCAGGCTCATTGAGAGCGGGGGGCCGAGGCTCCCCTCCCCCCAGCTCACCCAGGGACAGTGGCCGGGGAGCCGCTTTGCGGTCATTACTATTATCTCTGCCGCCCGCCTCATCACCACGGCTAGTGGTGCAGCCCGCTGCCCCCCCCACCCCTTCCCCGGGGCCCCGTGCTCCTGCCCTGTCTGAGCCTCAGTTTCCGCATCTGTGTCTGGGCGGCCGAGGCTGCAGGAGTGCATAAGGGGCCCCTTGTCACTGCCACCATCACCCCCGCTGTTAGGTGCTGTGTGCTGCCGGGGGCGCCCTGAGCTGCCAAAGGCCAAGTGGCTGTTGCTGGTGGACTTTGACCTGGTGGTTTTCCAGGGGAGCCGGGGCCCCTTATCTGATCTGCTAGCCGGGGGCTGGGGCTGCGCGGGGTGGGGGCGGGGCCGGGGAAGGAGCTGGAAAAAACAGCCGGGGTTGCACCTGGCACAGGCCGCGGTGATAACGCTGTGATGGGCGAGATAAGGCGGCAGGAGCCGTATCTGCCTCTCGGGCGGGCCCAGCGCGGCTCCCGCGCGAGGGCTGGAGCTCAAATGCCAGCCACGTTGATTTATAGCCAAAAATAATAGGACTTTTATACTGTGTGATTGATTTATTTGATGTTAATCACAGCTCTTATCTCGGGTATTAATAATCTGCCGGGCGTGTGACGTCACCAAGGGGGGGCTTTTATGGGAGCTCATCGATTGGGGGCCGTGGTAGTTATCAGGCTCGGCAGGGAAGGCAAATATGCCCTTTGGGCTGGAATTGGGTGCAGGGCCCTGCTCGCGGGGCCCCCAGCTGCTGGCGGAGGAGACCAGGGAGCCGGGGCCTACACGTGTGCCCTTTAGGCCACCCTACCCTCTAATTATTAGCTGCAGCTGGAATAACAATTACTGCTGCAGTTAATGAGGGGATGAGAGGTTTTAAAGGCCAAGGAGAAAATTGAGGTGTCTGTCCCCCGTTAGCGCAAACCTGGGTGTGGGGTGACCTTGGGAACGTGCTCACCCACTTAGGCCTCAGTTTCCCTCCCGGCCACAGGGCGAGGTGGGGAGGTGGGTGGATTAGCGCCCAGGGATGGCAGGGCCTGATGGTGTTTTCTGTCTGCAGACGCTAATCCCCCACCCCCACCATCGCCACCGCCCCCCACGCCCCCAGGAGGCCCCGAGGAGATGAAGGGGCAGGAGTCAGAGACAAGGCTGGAGGAGGAGTCCGGCGTCTCCTGGAGCGGGCCAGGTAAAGCACCCCTGCGGTCGGTCGGTCGGGGCCTGGAGGCCCAGCCTTCTGAAAATCCAGGGAGCCTGCTGTCCTGGCGGCTTGGGTGGGACAGGCCCCGCCTCCTGGCTGAGGAGGCTGGTGGCGACCCTCTGGGCCAGGGCCTGTGCCTGTTCCAAAGTCCAGCCAGCCTGTGGGGCCAGGCACCACGCCGGGCTAATGCGCCGCGGGGGCTCCCAGGTGGCATTCCCCTCTGGCTGGGCAAGAGGAGCCTCAGGTGGGGAGGGCGGGGAGAGGCATCGTAGGCGTGCGTCTGGAGGGCCGTCCCCCCGCCCCAGGCTGGGGGTTCTGGCTGGAGTCGGGTGGCTGCAGTCACGTGGGAGGCAGGCGTCGGCCCCACCTGCCCAGTGCTGGAGCGCGGGGCGTGGCTCTGAGGGTGGTTTCCTGCTACCCGTCGCCCTGACCACCAGTTTGCAGCCAAAAGTCTGACCAGAGGTGTTCTCCATAATTCTGGGGAAAGTGGGGTGGCGTGTGGGGGGTGTGGGGCTGCATCTCTGAGCACAGGTATGGCTTGTCCTCAAGGGCTGGGGGTGAGACTGCTCTTGGCTCAGACGTGCAGGTACAGGAAGCGTTCATTGAGTACCTGCTGTGTACCCGACAGACAGCTGTGAGCTGATGATCCTCGGAGTGTGTGTGCAGGGGCGATGAAAGTGAGGCTCGGGCCGTGGCAAGGGGCACATAGGTAGGGCCTTGCCTTGCGGGGTCAGGGAGGGCTTTGCCAGGGCAGAGGGGACCCCCGTTCCTCCTTGGAGGGCCATGGGAAGGAGGGGTTGGCCTAGCGCTCACAACCAGGATAGTGACCCCACCCCTCGGCGAAAGCGAGTCCGCTCTCAGCACCTCCCACCTGGGTGGGCCATGGTGTTGTCTAGGAGCCGAGCATCCTGGGTAAGACAGTGCTGGGGGTCCCCTCTGCTTCCCCCAGCACAGCAAGCCCGCTGCCCTTCAAACAGACTGGGTTTATGTCCCTCAGCCATCATCCCCCCACTTCCTGGGGTCCCATTGGTGGCGGGGGGGTGCCCGGGTGTCCTGGTAGATAGGTGGCAGCCATGTGCCCTGTCCCCACCAAGGAGAAGCTGGCCAGGGGGGCCGTAGGGCCATGTGTCCCTGAGGCCCTCAGGGCCTAGTCAGGCATCGCTAAGCCACATGCCTACCTGCTGGGTGCTTGGGTCCACACTGGGGCCATTCTGCACACAGGACAGTGCCTTAGGGCTGGGCAGGGACCCTGTGGTCAGACTGCTCTCCCTGCCTCAGTTTCTCCAGCTGCAGATGAGGTAACAACGAGGCGGCCCTCACAGAAGCCAGGTCAGCGCTGCCACAGGCCCCATAACCCCTCACATTTCAGTCTTTATCAGGAAACTTCCTGCTGCGATGGGGGGAGCAGGGACCACCCACATGCCTGAGGGGCCCTGACTGAGGCCACAACCACCGGGGAGAGCGTCCATGGGGAGGAAAGCACCAGGTAGCCCCCACACCAGCCTCTGAGGTGGGTACCGCGTGACAAAGGCAGTTGTCCAAGGTCACCCAGCTGGGAAGCAGCAAAGTGGTGTGCAGACCCAACTCCGGGGTACAGACCCAGCTCCTGGGGTGCAAGCCTGGCTCGGGGGGTTCAGGCCCGGCTCCCAGGGTGCAAGCCCAGCTCTGGGGGTTCAGGCCCGGCTCCGGAGCAGGAGCTGCGATGTGTCAACACCAGCTTCAGTTGCCACCCCAGGAGGCAACACAGTGCCTCACCCCCATTTTATAGATGGGGGCACAGAGGCCCCGAGAGGCTGGGAACTGACCCCAGGGCAGGGGGGTTGGAGCTGGGGTGGCCGTGGTTTAGGGCTGGGGTGCATCCTCTGGGGCTGGGGGGCTCCCTCTCTCAGCCTCCGCAGATAGGAATTTCTGTGCAGTGGGCAGCGATGGGCCGATAAGCCACCACTGGCCAACCGCCGTGGTGCCTGCCCCCTATCAGACCCCGGACAGGCCACACTTATCGTCCGCCAGGGAAGCCAGAGAGGCCCATTGCATCCTTATCTCTGCGGGGCTGCCCGTGCCAGCGATGGGGCAGCAGGGCTTTGCCAGGGCCTGGCCAGGCCAGCGTCCCTGAGGGCAGTGCCCAGCCCAGTGACCTGCCGCGAGAGGGGGGCCTGCCGCCGTGGCCTTTGCCCACAAGCCCTGCTCCCCTTCCCCTTGTCTGACCCCTGAGCCCCTCTGCATGTCCTGGGCAAGTCTCTCTCCCTCCCTGTGTCTCTGAGTCTGTGTCTTGCTTCTGGCTGGCTGCCGCTTCTCTGTCCCCAGATGGGGAAAAAGTGCTGGCCCCACCACTTGGCTTGGGGACCGGGCTTGGGGGGCCAGCCTGGGGGACACCAGGTACCGTTCTCCAGGATGAAGGGGCTAGCTTGGACCCCAGTGCGCCGTGCACTGTCTGGTTTTGGGGGAATGACTAGGCCCCAAGCCTCCGTTTCCCACCCAGACTGCGCGAGGTGGGTCTCGGTCACCTCACAGAGCCTAGGGCTCAGCACGCACCTGGCACGGCGCACACTGCTTGTCCCCACCTCCCCTTTCTGGCTGCCATCTGCTAGCCAGGGTTCATGGGGCTCTCAGGGACCCCCTTTGCCCCCTGCTGGGACCCACCACCCAGGGAGGCCCAGGAGCCGGTGACCACAGCCCAGCAGAGACCAGGCCTCAGGGCCTCTCGGCCTCAGCATAGCGTGTGCAGTGGAACTGCACTTCTGGTGGTCAAGGCCCAGAGCAGATGGTCGCGAGCACCCCCAGGAGGCACCCCCAGGGCACCGGGCAGGAGGGCGGCCTCCCAGGAGGGTCTGGACACACCGCCAACCCAGGGGCGGTCTTGGATGTGAGAGGGCGTCCTCAACACTAGAGTGCGGGTCCGGGATGCGTGAGGGGCCCATGGTCTCCTAGGCCCGTTCCTGCCCCACCTGATACCTGCTGACCCCGGAGCTCCAAAAGCAGTCTGGGGAGGTGCTCAGGGATGTGTCTTCATTTGAAAGAATTGTGAGCTCTGTTGGCTTAGCTCTGGAGCGTGACTGGTCCCATGGGACCCCCCCACCAGCGCCAACCCCGTCATAGCTTTGCAGAGAGGCAGGATCACCCACCCCCGAGCATACCTGCCCCGGCCTGGGTCCAGCTTTGCCGAGTGACTGTGGACTGGGTGCCTGACCTCTTGGGGCCCCCGTTTCCTCCTGTCCATGCTGGAGCTAGGGAGAACGGTAGCTTCACGGGGGACCAGCACACAGAGGGCCAGCCGTAGCGTCATCCGCCCGCCCGGGCAGCCTGCATTCCTCTGGGAAGTGGGGTGTCAGCGGGGTCCACAAGAAGCAGCCACTCTTGGGCCAGAAAGGCCACGAGGCCCTGAGGCAGGGAGAGGCCGCCTTTCGCTTCCCTGTCCGCGGCGTGGTCTCGTTCTCCTCCCCGCCCACTCTCCCCTGCCCTGGGCATGGGAGGGCCCCACTGCGCTTGGAGTCGGTGCAGCCAGGCGGGGTTGCAGACCCAGCTCTGAGCCGGCGCTGTCCCTGCTGCCCTCTGAGCAGCGGGACGGCGGCCCACCGGGGGCCGGCAGGGCCTGGGACGGAGCCCCCACCCAGTGTCGGGTGAATACTCTCTGGACCCTCGTGAGTTGGTGTGCGGGGATGTGTCCTCCATGCTGGGAGCTCAGGCCACACCGGCAAGCGAACCACGGAGTGTGCAGGAAAGGGAGGAGATCCTGGCGGACAGGGAGGCCCCCACACGGGCCCCACGGGGCAAGGAGGTCCTCTGGTCACAAGTGGACAGTCAGTAAAGGCTCAGGAGTGCGATCCAGGCCTGGTCCGTGGTCGGTAGGGAGGGGGTACAGCCCATGGTGGGGAAGGCACCCACTGGGGCTTGGGGAAAGGGGGATGCTGGGCTGGGGGGCTTTGAAGGGAAAGGGGGTGGGTGTCAGGAAGGGGGAGAGCTCGGTATTTTTATCTTTGAAATGACCTTGTTCACTGGAGGGGCAGGCTGTTTAAAATGCCGATATGCAAATGACTGAGAGCTGTAATCTGTAATCCCCAAAGCATGTCTGGAGGGCAGCTGGCCAGGAGCTCCCTGCCTGTGAAGGGTCGGCCCCCCGCTCCATGCCCCCCCAGCCCTCCTGCCATCATCCCGTTCCCCACACCGTCTCCCCACCGAACATCTAGAGAAAGCAGGTCAGGCAGGCAGGCCAGGCCCTGTTAGGACTGAGAGCCTGTAGGGTCCCATCCTGAGTGGGGGTCCTGGGCCCGTCACCCACCTCCTGGCCCCCATGGGAGCCTCTGTCCCGTGGCAGTCAGCGTGTCCTCAGCCTGCCTGGCCAGGTCATGGGGAACTAGATGAAGGGAACAGCTGTGGGGAGTCCCAGGGGGGGTCTGGGAGCCTCCTGTGCAACCAGCCTCGTGGTGTGAGGTCCCCTCCCTGCCTGCTTGCCTGGCACAGGGCAGGCGAGAACCAGCTCTCCATCTGCCCCTCTGGGAGCCAAGGTCCAGACACCCCGGCTGGGGAGCAGCGTGCACCCGGCTGCTGAGTGCAGGGCTGTCCACTGCGGGTGCCACATGCCAGGTGGGGAGCAGGGAGGTGAGGCTGGGAGGCCCACAGGGGCCCCCCACCAGCTCCAGGGACATCAGGTGGCTATGAAGAAGGAAGGGGGTGGTCAGAGTCACACTTGGTGGCCAGGCCTGGCTTTGTGATCAGAGCCCCAGGACAGGGGTCCCTTTCACCCACAAGTGTCTTGGAGCCCAGAACTCTTTCCTGGTGACCACTGTTTACAAAACAAAATCTGGTTGGCATCAGGGGTTACCTTTTTTGTCCCCATGTCAGGCCCTGGAGGCAGAGACAGGAAGGCTGACCATGTCCTCGTGGCACTGTAGGTCAGCAGAAGCTTCCCCAAGCTGAGGCCTGAAGGACCAACTGGAGTGGGGAGAGGGTGTCCAGGCATTGAGCTGGCACGTGCAAAGGCCCTGAAGTTT